ACCACGTTACACGCTACCCAACAAGGTCAAGATTTAGTTATGATCCATAACTAAAGCACGAAGCAATTAAGGAACCAGGGTTGTGATCATGACCTTTTAATTATGTGTATTCAGACTGTAATTAAGCAAGACCTTCTGGTGAGTTAGTTCGTCATTGAAGATATGTTGCGCGTGTGGATGAAACTTTCGTGTCACCAAACAATAATTTTGATGGGTGAAAATTATTTGTATTTGTTCCGTTGAACAATAATTATTTCAATCTTATATTCTTTATTATAATATTATTAAGATTTATTATTATATGTAAGGTTTCTTTTCGTTTGAAACTCTAATATATAATTATTTTATCTTTATAAAGACATCTCCATAAGTTTAGGAAAAAAAATAATGTTAATAAACTATTATTAATTTTTATTTTTAAGCAATATAAAATTTAAATATATATTGTAACATAGTTTCTCGATTGAAAATTAAGACTTTATCATGAATGTCAATACTTTATCTAAAATCGATAATGTTGATTTTTTTCTTCATAAAATTAAAGATTTTAAATTTATCCTACAGATTTTATATTATAAAGTATAAACCTAAGTCACTTTTTTTAATTACATATTAAATTTCTTTATTTCTTTATCAATAACACATGGAAATATATTCAATTTCAATATTTTTTATCTATTTTTGTAGAAGTTAAATTTGGAGATTGAATATGTAAAACAAGAATGGTAAAATAAAATAAAAATAAAATGATTTTTGGATATTAGTTTGAAGAACATCTAGACCATTTAAAAACTCTCATATCTAAAACAAACACGTGTTTAAATGTATGCTCTAATTAGATCCATAAACTATTTTACAAAAGGAAATCAAATTCGATTCTTCATAAAATTTCAAGCAAAATTATCTTAACTTCTAAAAATAATAGAAAATAGCATAAAACTTCAAATCTAACAAATTGTATATCTATTTTTAAGTCTTGAAAATGTAGAATCCAATACAAACCTACAAGAAAGGTTTTGACTGAAATAATGAACAAATGTCATATTAGCTAAAAATATAAAATTAAAGCAAATATATAAATTGAATCCAATTTATTATTATAAAATAAATATGAGTTCAAAACTTAAAATAAAGTAGAAGGTGCATTCATTATGTAATAAAACTATAAATGTGTGTCGCCATCATCAAAAGAGGCGATCGAAATGACGTGATGGTTTGTATGATTCGCGTTTTTTATAAGATGGTCAACATTCTTAAAATGCCCGATAATCGGACTGTTCTTAAGAATGAGGTTTTCAAAAATGGTTTTATGCAGTCGTCACCAATGTTTTTACCATAAACATCGGAAAAGGAAGAAAAGAAGGCGTTAGTTTTCAAAAAAACCAACTTTGGTTGTTACAACCAGAGTTGGGTAAGGGAGTTAGCTATGTGTGGAGAAGGTGTTAGCACCCCACAATGCCCATTTCGGGTTCCCTATGATGGACTAATTCATAAATAAAGACTGAAAGAAACTATGTTTTTACCCTATTATTTTATCTACTTGCAAAATTTAAATATCTACATGACTCTAATATCTAATACATACAAAAAAAAGCAGTAAAAGAGAGAGAATAAGGAAAGGAACCTCGGAAGCGAGTTTTATATTAACTCTTCAAAACTTGACGATGTTTTTTGCCAATCCCCTCGCTCTACAAACACGCTCCTCACCCGCAACAAAGAAAAAGATCACTCTACCGAGCGCCGGATGTCTCAAGAGGAGACTTCCTTAATCGATTTCTACCTTAACAGAAATAGGAAAGTTCACTCGAACTCTGGAATAATGCTCAGAGTCACTCTCAAGTGTCAAAAGACTTCCAAGAGAGTAGTAGGAGTGCAAGATGTATGTAAGCTGTGTGAAATGAGGGGGAGGAGACTCCTATTTATAGGAATTCGTGCCAGGTAGGCCGAGACGGTCGTCTGGGCTTTTGACAGGCGAGACGACCATCTGGCCAAACGAAACGGCCGTCTCGACCCTCCCGTCAGATTTTTTCCTATTTTTTCTTATTTTTTGTGTACAGAAAACCCTCTTATCCTTACATGGAGCCTAGTGAACATGTCTAGGGGCCTAAAGAAGCCTTGTCCATTTTTGAACGGAGGATTTTTGGTCTTAATTGAGAAGTCTGACAAGATTTGGGATCTACAATGTGTATACAAATATGTATTATCAAGTGTTCCGACTTCATGTGTGTTATAATAACATTGTTAATGTCTATTATTACGTTTAAGGTATTGTTTGCTTTGGAACTTTAATATTTCACTATATGAAACTCTAATGATGTTATCATAGTAAACATGAGACCGAAACACTCTCATTTTTAAATGAAAAATTAATGCATAATGGTCTTTATTAGTTTGATCACACTAGCTTGCAAGATTTTCAAACTACATAAATGATATAAACAAAGTTATCAAGCTCGAGACTCTACTTAGTCTCATGAGAGGTATGTAAACTTGACTCATAGACTCATAAGAGTTTATTTCATATGAAAAATACTAATTTAATAATAAATATAATAATATTAATTCCACAAAAATAACAAATCAATTAAACCTGTACAACAATATAATCAAAATTAAAAAAATAATTTAAAAAGTTCCTTGAATCTCTAAAATCTCTCCATTTTTTGAAAATCCTAAAATTTCAAATCCCTTAATCTAACCTACAAAAGGGGCGGTGAGCAATGGCGAGAGGAGTGCGACCAACACGCGACCATCGCACAATCAATATGCGACCATCACGTGACCCAAGCAAACATGTGACGATGACCACCACTGACAACGACAAGCAACGACGAATAATGAGAATGAGCGAGATTTGAACTTCTGAGAAAAGAAATGAGGAGTGTGAGAGAAGATCTAAGTTTTTATTTTCCTTCAAATTTGGTGACTCATTTTTTACTTGCGAGTTTACTCACAGTCCACCAAGTTTGACTCTGAGTCTACCCTAAATTAAGTTTACTCACGAGTTAACTTATACCTAATTACTTGACTCGTTAACTTGTGTAAGTGGGTTGACTTATAAATTTAATAATCATAATTATAAATTTATGCAATCTAATGTATTTAGCACATATTTAATTTAACTTTTGTATAGTACATTTTTCATTTGTATTTATGTATACCTATAATTTGGAAATGTATTCAATTTTTTTTCTATCCTATATGACGTACTCATTTTATCTAATTATTTCCTCTTTTAAGTTTATTGAAAGAATGAAATTCCATGACTCTAATTATACCACAATGACACAAATATTACAACGATGAGACTTATTCATGCAAAAGTTTGTACCTAAGTTTATTAAGGACGATACCAGTTTTTTTTTTTTTTTTTTGTGTGTATATGCCTCAAATTTTCTAATATAACATAAAAACTAGTTTTCAATTTGTATTTATGTGTATGATCCCAATACAGAATGGAAAAGTGTTTTTGTTTTGTATTGAGAATGCAAAATGAAAAAAAAAATGCACTCTTGATTTGCCAAACTCCCAACCTGCACGATGATTTGGGCCGTTCAGGCCGATCTGCGGGCCCAGTTGTTTATATATATACTTAGTTTCGTCTTTTAATTTGGACATGTAATGTTTAATTGGAAAATAAACAAATGTAATATTTATGTAAAAGCATGCAATTGATAAAAGTTATAACCAGCGAAGAAGAAAAATCAAAGAAAAAAAACCATGGATCTTTTATTTATTTTTATTCATACAATTTTATCGTGTATTTTATACAACTAAAATTTATATTAAATAAACCTTTTAAATATATAACTTTTATTATAATTAAAATATGTAATAAATAATATTATATATAATGATAAGTATTTTTATAGTTTCTTTTCGAGACATAAGAAATGAAGTTAAATCACAATTAAAATTAAAAAGTATAAGAAAATATGTTAAACACGTGTTTGTAGCATATTTGGAATTTGAAAATAAAATAAATTTTAGAAATTGATTGATAATATTCCGTTATATATATATAAAACAGATAGATTGTACTTTATGTATTTTTATCAAAATTAACCAAAATAAAATATCATCGTAAGTGACCGTAACAATGTAAATCACGTGGTTGTCATGTGGGTTAGTAATTTATGTTGTAAATCATAAGGATGCTAATCTGAATTACCTGTCATTATTTTACAGTAAAAAAATAATTGCAGAAGTTAAAAACGCGAATGAAAAATTTAGAAAAAAAAATTAAGACGGGGATAAAAAAAATGAAAGGTGAAAAATATAATTAACCTTAAAAATATATAAGAATAACACGAAACTATTAACATGAAGTTATTTAACAAAACATCTTAAACATCTTAAAAAAAGAGTTTATAATGAATTCAATCCTAATGCTAAGCAAAGACATTTTAAGAACTATTCTTTATTGTAGAATTTTAAGAATTCTTTTTAAATGAACGTCTATTTCCGAGTTATTAGTATTCTTATTGACTATATGTCATATCTTAGTTTCATGTTTTTTTTTTAAGTATCTTTATTATTTTAATTTTAAATTTAAGTTAATAATTAAAATTATTAAAAAAATAATTAAGTTAATAATAATTTCAAGTTATTCAAAGTATCTTTAAATTTAAATGAAAGTTTGTAACAATTAAAAATGCTGTTTTATTACAGATAAATTATTTGTCATAATTCCAAAAAAACTGACGAAATAATCAAATAGAGTGGGCCGAAATTCTAACAAGAACTACCACTAAAAAAGTGAAAACGCGGCAAGCGGTGGGGCGCCCAATAGGGAGGTCGATGAAGTGTCACAGTCCAATAAAAACAAGCCACGTGGCAGATCCACGTATCATAACTTGGCTCTCACTAAACTCTTCCATGCTCCTTCTTTCACCATTCCCATTTTTATTTCATCATTTGATCCTTTCTTCTCCCACATTGCTTCTCCCATCTCCTTTTCTTCCTTCAATAGTAATAAAAAAACCGAACCGATCGATCTCATGGAGGCCCACGGCGGAGGGCTCCGCCTCCTGGTCCTCGCCTTCTGCGTCGCCGGAATCTGGTCTGCCTACATCTACCAAGGCGTTCTGCAGGAAAACGTGTAAGAATCCCAATCCGCTCCGAATTCTCGTAACTGTCGTGAGTTTTGAACTGCTGTTGCTCATGCCATGTTTTTATTTTTATTTTTTGGATTTTGTTTCAGGTCGACGAAGCGATTCGGTCCGAACGGTGAAAGGTTCGAGCACCTTGCGTTTCTGAACTTGGCGCAGAACGTGGTGTGTTTAATCTGGTCGTTTATAAGTAAGATTCTATCTCCAATTAGTAATTAATGTGTAAATATACTTGAAATAATTTAATTTGTGTTTATGTTTCATACATTGTTGCTCTAAAATCAATTGGAAATTAGTTGTGTGTTACTATTAAAGCAGCCGTTACGATCGTCAATGATAATATCTTACGGAAATATATGATTGAATGAAAATATAAAAGTTTTATGAGTGTATTTAAATTAGATTCGTTTAACATTTTATTAATTACTTTTGTTTGTGTGTACAGTGATTAAGATATGGTCTAGTGGAAGTTCTGGTGGTGCTCCTTGGTGGAGTTATTGGAGCGCTGGAATTACCAACACCATTGGTCCTGCTATGGGAATTGAAGCTTTGAAGTATATTAGTTACCCTGCTCAGGTGTGATTTCTTCAACACCTTTTTTTCTGCCTCCTTTTCTTTTTATTTAATTGCATTTTATTAATCTGGTGTGGAAGTTATGATTTCACCCGAAAGAATTGTTAATTTGGAGTAATGCCAGTGGTAGGACTTGACATGAGCTGTTATTTATTTATTTATTTGGGGGTGGGGGGTTGGATTTATAATTCGATTTCAAAGTTAAGTGTGTTTATATTGATTTTGATATTTTGTACGAAAATCCATTCTTCTTTCTTGAAAATCAATAAAATGCAAAACTATTTTACGAGATAAAATTTAAAGGATGATAGAAAACACAAGCTAGGATTATCACGCATCTAAGTTGAAACAAGTTATTTTATATTTATGTTGCATAGTGCACCATTTGTGGTGGTGTACTTATTGTTCATCCAGTGTCTTCCGCATGGGGCTGTATAAGCTTTTTAATGGGTGATGTTAATTTTTCTACTTGCAGGTGCTGGCAAAGTCTTCCAAAATGATTCCAGGTCAGTATATTGTGCTTGATGCACAAAAGCGTGCATTTTAATTAAAAGCAATAGAAAATTAGCTGACCTTCTATTTCTTCTACATATTCCCTGAATTTATAATTGAATTATATCATTATATTTTGTGTCTATGTTTTTTATATTCTTTTGGTTTCGCTTGTATATGAATTTCACTTTATTAAGTTCAGTAGGTCAAAGGAAGAAAATCTTTAGAATTTTACTAAGACCAGGAATACTGTTGTGGTTATGTATTCTTTGAAACTTTTTAGCTCTTGTACTTGTGCTATTGAGCTGAGAATCCATCTTGATTTGTTTCTTAAACGTTTACTTACCTTGCACCCATTCCTTTTTATATATGGATCGGGACAAATAATAAAATTCCATTTTTTAATTTGGAAGAAAATGATGATAGAAAAATCTTACAATATATATATATTTTGGTTGATTTTTAACAATTTAAATTTATCCTCAGATTATGTAAGGTATTCTTAAATGTCTAACAAAAGATTCACTTAATGCAGTTATGCTGATGGGTACTCTGGTATATGGGATAAGATACACTTTTCCAGAATATATTTGTACATTCCTTGTTGCTGGAGGGGTATCAACATTTGCTCTTCTAAAGGTTAGGAAGTTCTCAGAATAATAGAGCTCAACTCTTATCAAGGAAATTATTTTAGCCTTTGAACGCAGCTTAGTGTTATTTGTTTATGCTAATAACAGACTAGCTCAAAGACAATCAGCAAGCTGGCACATCCAAATGCTCCCCTTGGATATGGGTTGTGTTTCCTAAACCTTGCTTTTGATGGGTTCACAAATGCAACTCAGGATTCTTTGAAAGCAAGGTAATAAATAATAGAGAAGTTTCTCTCTTTTTTGCTTTTGCATATAGCAATTCCTGTCTGCCTGATGTTGTGTTGACTACTCCCGTTGTACCTCCTTTTTCTTTTAATGAGAACAATTTTCTAAATGAGCAGTTATTGAAATTGTTTCTCTCATTGGTTAAGGTGTTGTCTTTTCTTTAATCCAGCTATGGAGTATGAAATGTGTTTTTTGTAATTATCAGAGTTAAACACATCTTTTAGAGTTAAGTTCAATTCTGATAGCTAATGATATGAAAGAAAATGGATTGGCTTAGAATTTGAGGCTTATGAATTAGCCTACGGGATGGAAATATTGGTCCTACATAGGTTTGTCTATGGTGACTAATTTAACGGTCAAGTAAACAAAACTAAATATGATTTTTCATGTTCCCCTTTCCCATGTAACGTTGCTTGTAGGTAAAACTCCATTGCCTTTTGTTGCTTTCACAAGTTAAAATAGTCGAACTACATCGATTTCTCAAATCTCGATACTGTTGGGCTTTCTTAGTGGCAAATGACTCTTTTAATTGAGAACAACTTAAGTACAGATTGAATAATGTTAATTCTATTATTTTTAACTATTGGTTTGCCTTACCAGGTATCCAAAAACAAGTGCTTGGGGTATTATGCTGGGCATGAATTTATGGGGAACCGTATATAATTTGGTTTACATGTTCGGATGGCCCCAGGCGAGTGGATTTGAGGCAGTTAAATTCTGCAAACAGTATCCAGAGGCAGCATGGGATATTTTTCTCTATTGTTGCTGCGGTGCTGTGGGCCAAAATTTCATCTTCTTGACTATAAGCCAGTTTGGCTCTTTGGCAAACACTACCATCACTACCACTCGTAAATTTGTTAGCATTGTGGTATCTTCTGTATTGAGTGGAAATCCCCTCTCAACAAAGCAATGGGGGTGTGTTTTTATGGTGTTCTCAGGATTGTCTTATCAGATCTATCTCAAGTGGGAGAAGTTGCAGAGATTGCAGAAGAAAAGAAAAGCCATGTGAAGCCTTCAGCAATTTTGAAGTCAAAACCTTAATACTATCTTTTAGCTAATTCCCCCCCTTACTCAAATCTTGAAGGTTCAATGAACCGGGTTTAGGTTTATGCAAAAGAATATTTGTAATTTTAATTGAATAGATACTTTTGTGAAGTACAAAGTTCAAAGTTTAGATCCCATTTTCTCATTCCTTTTGCCAATTTTTAGTTGTCTGTATTCTAATGAAAAGATAGATTTAGTTTTATGGCATAGTACTAAGGTAAAGCCATACTCTCTGTAAACATGATTTCAGATTATCTCATCTTCTCGTTGTTTAGAGATTATCGAGTATTGTATGAGCGCCAAAATTAGCCTTACAAAGTAGTCGGTGGGCAATACTAAATTGTTTGTACTGGTTTATTTTGTTTCCGGAATTTTCCGGTTCAAATTGTTTACCTTTTTTTTCCTTAAATAAGGCATAAAACCAAGTGAAGCACTTGTGAATGACAAACTTGAGTGCGAAATATTGTATTACCAGAGACTTTACCTAATTTTTTTATATATATATATATATATATATATATATATATATATATATATATATATATATATAAATTAAAGAGAAATACCAAATGAAGTAATTTATAATGTTTTTATGACATTTTATAGAACCAACATATATTGTTTGGGATAGGAGTAAATTGTTAGTATTTGTTTTTTCCAATGGTTTGAACCTCTTCGATATCTCAAGCTCAATTTCCGTTTATGAAATGTTAATGTAGGCATAAACAAGAAGTGTGGGCTAAAACTTAAAAGTGAGAGGTTGGATCTCCAAAGACAAACTCACTTTAGAACAGGTGGGGTACAGGTCCATTGTATAGAATAGTGCTTGATATACTAATTTTAAAATCAGAATAGAACAACAGTACTGTTTTAGTCACAATAATCATTTCACTGCGTAATGCCACAAATAAATGTGTGCATAAATAGCATTATTCATTATAAAATCACTTTTTTGTTAAAAAAAATCAGTTGAGGCTTTGACCAGCTAATATGTTTAGGCAAGATGAACTTGTTAAGTGAGTGGATATGAGTAGGTCAAATGATTCAAAGTGTAGCTTCTCTGGCGAAAGTTAACAGTATGTGCTTTATTTTGTAAGGAGTTCCCTCCCTCTTTTTACCAATCTCTTTTAGCCATTGTCATTATTATCATTTTGTAAGGTCTTCCACCACCACGATGAGCTAATGATCCTATACAAGAATTAGTTCTCCCCAGAATTGTTCTTCTGCGAAGCACAGTTCACATTCCATGGCAAAACAACCATGTGAGCAGAAAGAAAGAGTGAGAGAAATGTTTGCATGCCTCTCCATGTCAGTCCAGGGTCCCAGGTATGAGGTGTAGTGTCTGTTAGCACATAACTTTAGCATTCTTTGTTTTTTATGAAGTTGTGACTTTTTAAAACGAAACGAACTCCTGTTGCTGAAAGCTGTGTGTTTTGCAGTAGTGAAGGTCAAACTTGCAATGAATTGGTTGCCATTAACAGTTCTGAGTGATGTTGTTTGGCATTGTTTTCCTTTTCAATTCTCTTCTTGAAAATTGGGGTGGGGAAGTCATTGATGAACTTTACTTTTATAATGTTCTTTGAGACCAAGTGTGTTCATACCTGTTACTTTTCCTACTGAGAACTCTTTGATTTTCTTTTCCTTAGTTTTAAGAATTGTCTACACGTGGTTATGTGTTAAATCTAGGTTAGACATAACAAAAAACAATATCTGCACACCCAAGCCAAAATGCATTTCCACTCCAATTATAATTATGTTTCAGTACAAAAGAACCAAAAAGGAATAAAAAATTATTATTCTATGATCTATGAACACCCAAAACAACAAAAGATGAATCCAATTTGCCACTGGTTAATCTTTTGCTCTCTTTTTTCTTCTTTCTCTCTTCTATCTATGTCTCTGTTCATTATATGTAGTAGGATGGCGAATTGCCGGAGTATACATACACTCAGGATTACTAGTATCACACAACAAACTCTGTACAAAAGGGCAAACCAAGATCAAAAGCTGGATTGGAGAAAAAACAAACCCAGAATGATATCAAAACAAACCAAAGAATGACACACTAGGAAGTAAGCAGACTATTTTTTCAGGGCAAGTATCAAGAAAGGTAAGGTAACCCTTTGAGAAGGAGGGGGAGAAAAGGACACTGTTAGATGTGTTGACGATCCTCAGAATGTACCATAACATTCTGGAGGAGTGTAAGGCTTTCAAAATTTTAGGCTGAACAAAATTGCAATCTTTCTCAAACCAGGCAGAGAAGAACTAACAGGCCCGATTGCCATGGGTAGGGAGAAAGGGTTGAGAAAAGGGAAAGGACTTGTAAATGTTTTGTATTTCAGATGAATTAGAGATTCAGATTAGGAGGGCTCTTTTGCAGAGTGGCGGTTGTGATGGGTTCACACTAGGGTTGAGCGATGGAGATTCCATTCCAAGTGTTTTCATTAGGAAGTTCCTTTCCTGAAAAAGGATAAAAAAATAATGTCAAACATTAAAAAAATTATTTTGCATAAACATATTTAACCATCATGCAGTTCACAACTCCACATAGTCCAGCAAGAACATACAAAGCAGCAACTTAGACAAAGTTGATTGTTGCAGCTAGAATGGTAGATGTCTGTTTTGTATATACATATCAGATGATAAACAAAGATGGTGATACAACCTACGGCTTACACTCAAAATCCTGTCACAAAATTATTTCTTGTTGGGTAAGAGGTTTCTTGCTTCAATAGTTTTCAGCACAAAAATACTATACTTTTAGGCTTCACCTATATATGATACGGTATATGCTTGTTTCGTCAATATTATATCAGTATATTTTCTTAGCGAGGAAATTTATAGTGTATTTAAATATTTTAGAGATGAAAACCCTTTTTTTTGTGGGTTTAAAAAGATCTAACATGTGTATGTCTGTATGTATGTATGTATGTATGTATGTATGGATGTATGGATGGATGGATGGTTGGATGGATGGATGCATATCGGTAAGTATTATGTATTGCATAATATATTATATCAAAGTATGTGCTAATTAAAGTTGAAAATGTGGCACCTCAAAGTAGAAGACATTATTGTTTTGAAGTATGCCTTATAAAATATAATGAACCTTCTTCAAACAAGACTTTTAAGCTACGAAGTCTTAAAGAAAACTTTAAGAAAAACCTATAAAATGATTATCCTCCTATGACTAACTCCACCATTAATAGGCAGAAAAATCCCAACCACCATTACTGAAGTATCTAACAATACATGGTATTATGAAAGTCCTACTGCTAATAAAAGTTGATCATATTAAAAGTTAAGAAACACTAGAACTATTGAGGGTTCAACTTGTATGTTACATTGGTTTAATATGTCTTCTATTAGTCATTATTACAAAGTAATGTTTATTAATCAGACTGCCTGTCACTAGTACTCATGATGTTTTGGTTGACCCTAATTATTTGGTGTCAAAGTGCTTGGCTAACTTACACTTTCTGAAAATTGTGGGCTAGGAATTCCAGCAGCTAAGGATCTAAACAGAGGTGTAACTTGAAGAGGTGAACTGAACTCCTCCAAACATGACAAGGCAGAAACAATGCCATCATTGTTTATCTGTTGCTCACAAGAAGAGAATAAATCTGCTATAGAAAGATATATATCTAATTAGTCATTCCGATTCATTAAAATGTTCACACATAAAAACAACTCTTCTTGAGGAAATTACAAAAAATTAACTTGTTGGTCAAAAAAACCCTGTTTAGGAATAACTAACAACTTGAATTAGGGAAATAAGTGGCTGCACATTATCAGCATGTGGTAAGTTGTTCCTAAACTGGAATTGTTTTACCAAAAATTATCTTTCCTTTTTCTTTGTTATCATCAGACTTGATTATCTTACCTTGATCTAGAGTTGCACTAGAAAGAACCCCTTTGTCACATCCCCTAACTTCTGGATCTCCCATTTGTATATTCAGTTCGGTCCCAATATCCTGATTTAGTGAGTGTTCCAAATTCTCACCAGCTGAATGATGGAGTAGAGTTGATCCTGTACTATATTCAGAACTTCCTGGAGAGTCTTCATACAGTTCCATTTGCCTATAATAGATTCAGAAACTATTAGATATTTCCAAGTTCCCATCATATATTACATAGCTCTCTTGAAGTCATATTTTCAATGAACATAGAGTACCTCCAGCATGGCTGGATTTCCTCACTACTGCTCTTCAAGTCCTCCAACAAGTCTTTAAGATCTACAAGCTGTAAATCTGGAATCTTATATTTGGGAATGTCTGATTCTTTAGTTCTGCTTAGAAACTCTTGAAGAACCTGGCATAAATACACATAAGTATTAGAACATAGTTTTTGAACGTGGTCTTTCTGTTATTTTATGCTCAAGAATGAAAACCTTGCTGAACTCAGCTGATGATGGGTTCATCATAATCAAGTAAAGTTTTTTATATTTGATTATGCTAGCAAGGGAATCTATGAAATTATATCAAAGACTTTTTAATGCCACTACTAACAATTATGACATAGAGCTCCTATGACCAAGTGGTCAAGAGTTCAATCTTTTCCACCTCATCATTCATAATATTAATTTTAGTACAAGGTAATTTGGGCTTGTCCATTATCCACACTTGAAGTAACTATTACATAAAGGGACATTTTGGAGATACTCAAGTCATTCCTGGGCCTCAATCTAAACGCTTTGGTCTTTATAAATGTTTCAAAACAAAGAAAGAATTTTGCATTAGTCTAGCAAATATACATATCATATAATGCCTAACTCTCTTTGATTAGCATATCATAAATGACTCGGGAGCTGAAGAATGAAGCATTGTAAAATCAGTACAAGCATAAGCAGAATCAACATAATCTCTAAAAAAAAATGAATACTATCCAGCTGAACTACGAATCTGCTTTGGGTTTTTCAAAACCAGCATCAAATATGTTAGATGACTTCTATTATTTTCGTGTTGATAGGCTTGACATTGTAAAATTTGATTTAATCCTGTTGTATAATCTCTAATTCGGTCTTGGCTTTTGAAGACAACAATTTGGAGTTTATTTTAAAAGAAGCCCATAAAATGTTCAAAAACAAGAACAAATTCTGAAACTATCAAGTCTTACCTTCCATGCATTTTCAAGACTTTGATCCACGTTCTCTGCATCAACTTTTAGAGCTAGTGAGCTTAATAACTCTGCTTGTTGCATCAGCGCATTTATCTTTGGGTCATCCTTTTTAAGGAAAGTTCCTTGAATCTTGTTGTTTTGAGCTACAAAACCATGATAAACCAAGAGTCACGTTAGAATCATACGATGGACAGTGTTACTTCAGGCATAATATATTAGAGGTGTTTGGCGTATTTACTATTTTCAAATTCAGTTATATGTTTTCACTTATAATTTAAAAATGTCACCTTGTTTTCATTTAGTTTCCTCTTCTCCTTATGTTGGTTTTAGTTTCACCATTTCCTTCACAAAATACAAACAATGTGATATTTTTATATTACAAGCAAAAAGGTATTAACACAAAATTTAAATGAAAATAGAAAACAAACCAAACAGTGTATTTGTTTTATGAAAATATTTTATGTTTTCATTAATGAATACAAAAATGCCACATAATTTTCACTATTTTTTAGGTTTTTCAAATATTTGAATAACATAGTGACAACTAGGAAATGAGGCGAAAACAAAGTGACATTATTCTAATAAATGATATGAGCAGAAAACTCTTCTGCAAACCAAACACACCCTTAATCTTGTCCTGTTCTCTTCTATTGAGTTTCACAACTGCAAGAATGAAGTTCCACACAAGTTTTTTTTTTTTTTATCCCCAATTTAAATGCATTACCATAATCACTAAACTTCAAATTGCAGACATGGTCCTGGTCTGGCAAGTTGACATTGTGGGAGTTTTGAGCTAAAACTGCAAATGGAGGTCTTGATTGCTGATTTATAGGAATCCCATTTTGTTTATGTGATCTGTCTCCAAAGTTGATACTTTCTTCAGCATCAGAGATATGGGACCTCCTATATTGCAGTAGGATGAGATATTAATATTCTCCTTAATACAATTTGTATATATTGATCTCTTAGTTCGCCATACCTTAGCTTCTTCAAAGCTACTGCAGATTCTGATGCTACATCTGTATCACACCTGTGCTGGAGAAAAATCCTTTTGTTATTTGAATTGATGTATGAAGTATTGTTCTCTTTTGCTAAGGCTTCATATTTTGCTCTCTTTTTGCACAGTGTGGAGAAACGGTTTTTCACAGCATTATCCGTTCTGCTCTCAAAGCAATGAAGCATTGCAATAAGAATATTGTTGTAAAAAAAATGATTTTGTATTTCCATGAAGAGAAGAATGAAATTCTGATTACCTGCCAGAAACCACCTTTGCTATTTCTGTCCACCTGTTACCAAATATTTTTTGAGCCTGCAGAGATAGTATTAAGAAATTAGCTCACCGATTACATGTGGTCATAAATGATACAATTTTAAGCGCAACACAGTTAGTGTCATCTACAGAACTATACAAGCAGAAAAACTTGGTTACTTTTGCTAGTAATGTACTCTTGGTAGGGTAGAGTTTCAGGAAAAATAAATGACTGTGCCAATTGCCATGGTAACAGCACTCACTGACAACCCTTAAGTGTATCAAAGGATTGAGGTCCACCATACAGAATGGAAAGACAGAAAAATAAACAGGAAAAAATAAAGTCCAAAATTTTCAAGTACTTTGTAAGATCACCATTATAAAACAAACTTGTTAAACTTGAATGGCAACTGCTGTGGTATAAAAGAGTATCTATGGAACACAGGGAGCACAAATATACCTCGCATAAAAGCATGTCTTCCTCTGGTGACCATCCTCCTTTCTTGAAGTCAGAATTCAAATAAGTGTACCATCTGGCAAAGCATCATTTACTTAAGCATAGGAATGAGGATCAAAATTGAGCAGGAGGCATGAAAGTCTTCATGAGCCAAAAGGAAGAAAGCAGAGGACCAAATAAAATATCTTGATTAAAACATCATCAAAATTCAAAAATTTTACCTTCTTCTGCATTGTCTTGTCGTTTTATCAGTGAATTTAGAAGCAATAATTGCCCAACTGCATATGGTCATGGTAGTTAAAATCCATTAGTATCACATATCCATGAAAAAATAAAAAAGCACTAGTAGTGTGTGAGTACTGAGTAACTAAAAGGAAGAATAACCAAAGGGCTATTATGGATTAAAGTTTGAATACTTTTCAGTTCCATGGATGCCAATCTGCTCCCTGAGTATATCATCCTCCTGCAACTCACATAACACTCATTAGACACCACTCCACCGAAGAACTTGAAAAATGAATAAGTGAAAATAATATATAAGCCATAAACAGGAGGAAATTAATTTTATAGTTAGAGAAGAAGGACCTCTTGAGTCCACGTCACAATGTGACGCTCCTTCTTCTTAGATTCTTCATTGACCAGCTGCTTCTGCTTCTGCTGCTTCTTCATATCTTCTTGCATGATCTTGTCTCCGTGTTTATGTTTATTCTATTGGTGTGGCTCTCTTCCTTGGACGCTCCCTCTTTTTACCGAAGCCAAGTTGCATGCTAAAGCCAACGCTCCCCCTTTATAACGCTCCCTCTTTTCTGTAAATTTTTATTGAAAAAGGAAAACAAAATTAAAACAAATAAACAAAAAGGGAAAAGAAAGAAAGAAACCCTTCCTCTCTTCTCTTTCATTCACCTTTTACACGCCCACCTCACACACACTGTTTTGTTTCAAAACGGCAACCGTAACAAGCATATATTCCCCTCTCAAAAGCCACCTTAACCAAAAGCTATTCAAGTGAAAGAGAAATGCCTATGTATGGCTACTAGTTACTTACTACCCTCCAAAGAAATGGCCTCGGATCCTAACTTTTCAGACCCTTTGATCTCACTCTCACTCTATCTTAGTATCCCCTGTAACCAAGCACAACATGTCCCAATGCTCAAATTAGGGAGCCAAATCACATGAAAAAAGACACAAAGTGGGCAATGAAGAATACATATCAGTGCCTGTAAAGGGTACATGGGGTAGCATCAAAATCGTATTTTTCGAAACCCAAGAGAAAGAACATGTGTATGTATTTTGATTTTGATGATGTAATATAATTACAGGTGCATATGCAATTGATAGCCCAGAAAGTGTGTTTGGTTAGATCTATAAAATTGATCAACTTTGTGAATACCCAAAATGAGAAAAAAAGTTATGTTTTCAAAGTGCTCAAGTAGACAACAAAGAAATACCTCGACTATGAATATTATTGTGTCTTAGATTCTCATGTCTGAGTTATACCCAAAAACACTGAGGAGAGAAAACAAGGACGGTGGAGGCTGAATGCCATAAACTTGTAGTTAGAGCAGTGTAGTCATTAGTGTGTACAGTTGTACTAGGAAGTGAGGTGTCTCCTTTGTTATTTTGTTGGGGTTTCTCTCCCCTTTCTCTCTCTAACTTTTTCAAAACGGTCACACACTTGCAAAAAATAAATAATATACAAAATAAAATATAAGGGGTATACCACAGAAAATAAAAAATAAATATATGTTTAGGTTAGTGCGCGGGTATGAAAGGAAGTTTGAAAATAACGCTGAATTCCATGAGCTACGTGCAGTGTGCAGTATATCATGGCGGCGTAGACTAATATCCACTATGCACTTTGCACCATTAAAGAAACTTCAAAGGGTATACACGGATTATACAATCATACTATTGTTAGTGATAACATGTGAATATTTTTGAAAAATATTTATCTTGGTCTCAGTGAACTTTTTAGGTATGAAAAGAAGATACATACCACAACATATGATGATGATGATTCTGCTGCAGTTACAGAGAACAATTGTGATGTAACATCATATACTGATGCAACTGTTGTATTGGGTCTGTCATGTGTGTGTGTATATATATATATATATATACACATAGATGATATGATGACAGATACATAAGGTTGTTATTTGAATTTTTTGATTTTTAAGGAGACATGAGAAGGTACGTGAGCTAGAGCTAGCTAAGCGTGGTGACCAAACTTTTTGTAATGAGAATAAATGGTTCGTGACTTGCATGTGCTTCATTTATCTTTGCATCTTTGGTCACGCTTCAAAGTACCATTCAATTTGTTTCTCCTTTTCCTCCATGGATATGGGAAATTTAGCATTCGAATTCTGGCTGGCTGCACTCATTTTGGTGTAGTAAATGTGTGTGTGAAGTGTGAGGATTTGTCCATGGCAGCAATGTGTTTTTGAATTTTCTCAGAGGATTGAAAATCTTGTTGATACGCTCACATCTACCTTTCTCACCAATTAGTGCGTGAATTTTTAAATGACATGTTTTAAAAAAAAATGAATGTTGAGATATACATAGCATTGAGGAATTATAGTATTAAGGTCTGGTTTTTTCTTTTTGAGTTGCACTTGAATGATTAACAATAATCTTGTCGAAGGAGGATTTGAAAATCTAATGAAGATGTCGGACTAATAAAATCAGGTGAATTTACTTGCTCTCTATTGCCTTAATTCGTTTAATAATTGGTTCATCTTGTTGGGAATTGCAAGCTAGAGATCTCAAACTTTGCTATTTCCAAAATTCATAATGTTCTATAAGCATAATATGTTGGAAGTGTTACTTTTTTTACAGGCAAATAACTTTGTGGACGAAAATGTAAAATAAATAGCAACAATTGATGTACAAATTTTACGAGGCAACACACTTTTTCTCTGTATATAAAAAAGTATATATATATATATATATATATATATATATATATATATATATATATATATTTAAACATGAGTTTTGCAATTTTTTTAATTTTAAAAAAATATAAATTATTTTAATCTCTTCCAATAATATGAGTTTAAAAAAAATGTGAGAACATCCATCACAACACTTATAAAAAAAAATGAAACTCATATTCTCTTTAGTTTTAAAATAAATATTTTTTTTACATATTTAATAAAATAACATTCATATTTTATTTAATTTTAAATAGACATTCATAATTTTTTTAGTAAATGATAATCATTTTTCTCATATTTTAATAAAATAAAACTTGTTTTCGTTTTTTTAAATATCATATTAACTAAAGTTTAAATAAAAAATATAAAAACAAAGATTAAAGTTTTAGAATATACAAAATAAATAATAAATTTTAGTTTTTATAAAAATATAAAAAAATTAGTGTTATTTATAAAAACTTAAAAAAATAATATATATTTTCTTTTAAATTTAATGAGTGTGGCTATCTTTTTATTAAAAATATATAAGATAAATATCTATTTACAATATTAAGAGTGTAAATATTATTTAATATAATATTAAGGGTTTGGTTAATGTTTATTGGGAATCATTAATATAGGAAAGTAAGTAAAAATAATTTTTTTATTTGGTTGTAAGATGTCATTTTACTTTTATTATGTGTATTAGTTTTAGTTATGGTATATGAACAAGAAAAAAAAGAGAGAAAATAGTATACTAAATATTATTTTATAAAATTAGTTTTCTTTATATTTGTTACCGTGTATATATATATATATATATATATATATATATATATATATATAATTTCAATTAATATGTATATATTACTTTTAATTATGTTATTTTGATATAGTATATAATAAATATAAAAATAAAATAAACTTAATACTTTTTATCATGTAATATTATTTTATTATTTAAACTCAAATATTTATAGAAAAATAAATATTTATAAATATATATATATATATATTTAAAGTATATGCTAAAAAAATCTTTATTTAAAATTTGTTTATTTATAAAATATTAACTAATAATAATTATATGAATAATTTTGTAATTCTATCATAACTTAATTTTAATTAGTTTATTTATTATTTAAAAGTAAATATGTTTCTTTTTATATCATTTTCCCTAAAAATGAATAAGTATTTTTTATTTTTATTTTCTCAATTTTTTTCTTATTATCGAAAGATACTGAGAAAGATAATTACACTTTCTTAATTTAACAACATATTAACATAATTTCTTATAATCTGTCATTTCCTCTTATGAAAGATGAAATATAAGATGGGATATTTAATGAGATGTTAGGGGTCTTACTTCTCTTTATTTAAAGCAAGTTAAGAAACTATTCACAAGCTTGAATTGAATCAAGTTTAAAACATTGAACAAATTTTCATAAACTCTACTGAAGCTATGATTAGCCTAATAATTTGGCTTAGCTCATTTTTAACTCTAAATTATTATATGTGTCAAATATATATTAAAAAAATAAACATATATTGAAAACGTCTCAGGTTTATAATATATTATAGTTTATAATTTTTTAATAAGGTTAAAATATATAAATTAAAATTTTAAATTTGTCTAAGATTTTGAAATTATTTTGTGCTCTTAATTTGAAAAATTATCCAAAATTAGATAACTTCCGAAAAAGTCATATTGAAGCCAAACTTTAGGTAAGGGATGTTAACATTTTCTACATCTTTGTAAGGGATGTTAACATTTTCTCATGCGTTATAATCCATCTTCAAAATGCTCTCCCTTGCCATATTTTTCAAATGAGTTTGCTTTCAACACAATTAATGTGTACAAAGTCTACAATCTACGGTCTTCAAGTAAGAAATCCAATGTTTTCCTAATTCTAGGTCTTGTGTCAAAAGATAGATTATATTTCAAATTCGAACGTTAGATATATAATAAAAAGTCAAATTTTTTGTCTGTTTTTTTTTTTTCTAAATCAACATATAACGTGTATTAATTACTCAGATTCATAATGAGTACTCAATAATCATAAGGTTAAAAAGTGCCTATAGAATTACAAAGTACAACATTTTTTTTTATTAATATAAAAGTGTATTGGAAATATTTTATTTTCATATTTTCATCTAAAACCAAACCAAGTATCTAATTTATTCCATCAATTCATCACTATCAAATCTTCCATTTTTAAACACTATTTCATTTTATTTTTCTATATACACTAAACAACTGCACTCTATACGACATACCATAGTTGTTTCCTTATATTAGACTTCCTCTCAAAGACCATGTTGTCCAATGCTATTAGAAAAATAAGTAAACATATTCAACCAATTTTTATTTCTTAAGATTATTTTGAGTTGAAAGTCTATTTCCAATAAAAGGATGCTACATCCAATCATTAAAATACCATGCAATAAATGGCGTAATTAAAGCTTCAAATAAATAAAATTATCCATAAACATCAGAAAATGAAAGAAACCTTGTTGCTTTCAAATTGAAAATAATGAGAGGATGACGGAAAGAGGTGTATTGGCATGAGCCCACAGGGAAGTGACCTAAACACGCTGGAATTTAGGATTGATTTAGACTTTCGCTGATCAGAATTGAAACATTATGCAACACAGTGGGCCTCAAAATAGCCCATGGGTGATTATTTGAATAAGCTCAATTTAAAATAGTAATAATAATATATAATTGGTAGAGAAAAAGCGAATCCAATAAACCCTAATGTGGTTATAGGTTATAAGAATAAGAAGGCAAAACTAGTTAAAAAAAATGGGGTTTAACCATAATCTTTATGGGACTAACCTATGACGTGTTGGTTCATAAAGAAACGGTCTTACCTACCAAGATCCACCATTTCCTACGTGGACAAGACGTGGGTTTGCCACGTGGATAGTTGAAAAAGAGAGTGCATATCTAGGTTTTTGAATGTTGAAATGGTGGAACCCTAAAGATGGCATAAAACTACAAAATGGCCACCTCATTGTCCCCTGTCTTGACAACGGAATCTCCCGCCAAAAGTGACCCATTCATCACCAAAACCCATGTCTTTACTCATACAAATTGGACCCATCAAAGATTTTTTTTTTTAATAAATAAATAAATATTCTTCTATTTCCATTCAAACCTGATCCTTATATTTCTCAAATTAATGAATTTGATCATCTAATTTTTAAAATTATATATAAATTTAATTTTTTTATTATGTTTAAACTTAACTCATTTAGTACAAGAAAAATTTCTTTATACTTGAAATTTGTAATTCTTGATCCAATCATGATTTCCTACAAAAGGCTAAATACGTTTGATTGGTCCAAAAATATTTATCAAAATTTTATATAATTTTTTACTATCAAACCGTAACACGGTATTTTTTTTCTTCACTAAAGGTTTTATTTTAATTCAAAAAATTTAAATTTTCAACTTTTTATTTGAATGGTTATGTGAGAAATATAGTTAAAAAATTTTGGTATATTATTTCTATAAATATTTATTTATTTTTAAAATAAGTAAACATGGAAAACATATTTTCTTCATTTTATATTTCAGAAGAAAACGATTAAAAATTTCTTTTAACAGATACTTCTTTACATCTTTACTTAACAAAATTGGGAAAAGACTAAATTTATGTATTTTTTAAAATTGAATATTAAACCGTACATAAACCAAAATCAATTTTCACCTAAACTACAAGATAAAAAACACAATTTCCCCTGCATAAATTGGTATGTTCTCTACAGTAATCCTCTGTGTAAGAAATGATACACAATAAATATTCAAAGGAAAAAGGGGAAAAAGAGAGGATGAAAAAGAGTAAAGGTAATGATATGCAAAGGGAGCTGTAAGTAGAAAATGTGAATAAGATTTAGAAACAGATGCTTTAGTAGAGGGAATCTGAAGCTGAAGTTCGAGTGAAAAAAGGAAATGAAAAAGTAAATAAAAATTATTGGGTGCGAAAGGGGTAGTAGTGATAAGGGTATAGTCGGTGATATTTTGTCCACTCACTGGGTGGAACCCTATGGAAAAATAAAATGCTTTTTCTTATAGCATGCATGACCTAATGTTTAAACAAAAACAAGTGCAAATAGGGTTTAAATTTTTTCAAATAGAACACACCCTCAAGTATGATATATATAATATATGTATGCGTGTATGAAGTATGAACCTAGTTTGTCAAGTTTTCAAAAAGGAGGAAAATGCTCCCTCTTTCCATCCATTAAAGCCAGGAATTTGTCATTTTTCGGCTACTGATTGAACATGGGCACTTAGTCCTTGGTCCTCTCTTCTTGTCCTGGCTTGACCCTATCAACCCTATAGCCTCATCTTTTATCATGTATTCTATTTCTTAATCTTGTGCTAATGGGTTATGAAGAGATGATAAAGTTGATGCTAAAACGCGTTGATATTGATTTAATCTTTGACAAATCGCACGCGAGGGATGAATTGGACCCATTGCTTTGCACTGCATTTGAATTTTATTGATATAATGGATCATTGTATACAAATATTTGATGTATGTATATAAACAAATAGAATAATTTCAAAAGGGTCAATCAGCGGGCCAAAATGGTTGGTTATACAGTAGTCTTTCAAAGGGTCCTAGCAATTCTGGTTTTTGTACCATCTACAGTTAAGAGATTGGTGATGAGACATGCAAACAGAGCCAGAGAGAAAGGGAGTGATGAGGTGAGATTTTGGGTCATTGTTGTGGGATTGTAATGAGCACTTGGGAGCGGAATGGCATTTTCTGAGTGTCTGAACCTCCCACCTTATATTGTTTTGTGAGAATCATAATTAATAGTCATGGCCATGGCATGTACAGTAAAGTTTGGCAAAATTGCATATCCTAAGTATTCAAGGGTCCCTTCAGAAAATGGACTGATTGATTGTAACCTTTCAAATACCATGGCCAGTTTGCTAGACTTTTAGAAGGGGTTTTCCCACTAGTCCAATCTGTATGGACATTTCCTACCCCTCCATCCACAATGAAATATAAAATCAAGTGGGGAAATTGATATAATTCCACTGGCTTTTTCTGGCTAATTGAAGGTTTATTAAGGACCCATTAATGATGTGTGATGTCTTAGGTTCCATGCTTATCTGTAACAATTCAAAAGATTACTTGAATGTTCAGAGATTAGAAATTAATTGTGTACCGTTCTTGTGATCTGTCCAAGAGTGATACATACATCTCGAACATAAAAGTATGCTTACTTCAGAGCCAAGTGACAGAAATGGCCAATGCTGAAGCCAAAAAACTAGGTGAGTTTCTGATATAATCACAAAAGACAGATTAACAACCCGTGTGATTGAGGGTAATGACTCCAAAATTAAATGAATATTATGATGGCAAAGACTATTAAGAGCATAGTGGAGAGGCCCAAGTTCCCAAAGAGATTGATATTTGATTGGATAGGGAGGGTCTTATGCATATTCTTTTTATTAGCCCTTCATCATGTCAAACCGAGCGGCCACCCAATCAATTGCTAAGCGCCAAGTGTCCCCACTCTTTGAGCCCTTAATTTCTTTTGCCCAAAATTAGGGAAAGAAAATAAAAAATTTGATGAATAAGACATAAATGTGAATCATTAACTACTAATATTCAATGACCATATCATAACTTGCATCTTAATGGCTAAATGGAGAATCCCCTAGAAATTGTTTGGCACTAGTTTACTTTTACCACAACTTCCATTCTTCCTTTGGTTTTATTCACTATCTCGTCACTTTACGCTTGCTAGTGAAACATAGGTCACAACAGAGGGGTCACTTTTATTTGGAATAGATTTGGTTAATCTGAACTGTATCTTTTGTTTTCACTATGACTTGCTTTCATCCCTTGAGCATGGCCTATGTGTATGGTCATTTATCAATCTGGAACAGTGAAACTTGCCAAAATCTAAAGTGAATACCATCTTTGAACTTCTTGTGTTGCAATATAGTTTATGGAGTATAAAGTTTGCTTTAGCTTTGGACTCATTTGTTTTTTAACTGTCCAAATACAGGTCCCCTATTATTCTTTAGCCGTTTTACATCTGGAAAAGTTATATATTTTGATATACCATCTCTATATTCTTCACGCAAATGGGGAAGTAATCATTCCCTTTCTTAAATTCTCTCAGAAATTGAATACAACAAAAACAAAAAGCATGTGGAAAAGGGAGAAAAACAAAACTAAAGCTAGCAAAGGGAATGCGAATATGTGATATCAATAAAACTAAACAATAGAGTTTCAAAAACAGCTTTAATTGACAGGATTCAGGGTCCAAATATGCATGAAGAACATAATATATAATCTCGGACTCTTGGTTTCTTAAGCACGTTTTGTGATCCTCTGTTATTCTTGCATATGAAAAGCGATGTGTCTGGGGACAACTTTGTCTGCTGAACTGCCTTTTCAATAGGGATACTATGTGAACTGTGTTTAATTTTTGGCTAAGTACAGATTAATTTGTCTGGTTGTTTGTGCTTTCTTTTGACACTCCAGTGATAAGCTATTCAATACAACTTAATCCCTTGCCTTTTCTTTCTAAAAGTAGCTGTTAAGATTTGTTTACGCTCCTTCATCATGCCCTTTTAGCTAAACCAATTTGGACTTACCAAAAAAGAGGACAAGAAGGTCCAAAAAGAAGACTGGAAAAGAGAGAGTGTTTTACCCTACATATAAAGTTTCATGTTGTGACAATTGTTCAACAAGCACACACACCAAAAAAAAAAAAAAAAAAGTACAGGCAGCTAGCTAAACTTTTTACATATGCTCCTCAGTGATTTAATTGTTTGTTATCCTTCCTTCCTCTCTCTCCCCTAAGTACTATAAACTACCTTGTTGTGTCACACGGTTACTTTTTAGTTAACAGTCATCTTCCAGATGAACAAGAATGGAGATAACTATTTTATATCACTTTCTCTTGTTAATGCAAGGCCAAATGCATATATAGTTCAAAGTTGTCTAATCTAAGTCTAACTGGCAAAATGAAAAGCAGAACCACTTTGGCCTATCTTGTTCACGAGGATAATTTTGTTTTTCTAAGAATTAATGGAAAGGACTATTAATAATGCTAAAGGATCAATTAACAATTTGAATGGTATTTTAATTTTGTCTCTGTCTTCTAAAGAGGAGATGAGAGGTTTCAATGACACTAGAGAAAATTTCTAAGATAAATTTAATAGCTAATAAATTTCTGACACTTTTGATCTGTAGCTGAGTTAACTGGTGTTGTGTGATTCATATAACTGATATCATCTGGTGAGACAAGACTTTGTTGTTGATGGTACTGTCCATTAAGTGACCCAATTTGTTACCTAAAATCTGTAGAATAATTTTTGGGGTTAATTGTTGAATAAGGTAGAAGATGTTTGAAAAATGAAACCATTTTCTACTGAATATGTTGGCAGAATGAATGTGAACTGGGCTAATCTAAGTAGCTTATTGCATTACAAGTGGCATGAACCAAAATCAAACTTGGCACAACATGAAACAAAAGTCCCTACCCTACTAAAATCCCCCTTTTTCTTTACTTCCATTTTTAACGCAATGAGCAAAAGAAAAAAAAATATATTCTTTGATTGATCCCATATGAAAAAGAAACAGGGAGCAAAGGCCCCACGTGTGGAACAGAATTTGAAGCTCATGCTATTATATTTTATCTATTTTTAGCTTTATGTAGATGTTGGGGTTCGTCTACTTGGGATTCCTACATCCTTGTGGGAACCATCCTTTTGATATTAGAGCCACCTTTTCAATGGACTGTGGATTTTCACTTCACTCACTTTCTCTCCCTATCTTTTCTATTTAGCACGCTCTTGCAAAAGAAAAAGGTTTAGGAATCCTATGCCCCTCCTTATATTCCCATAGTTTGGTTCCTTTTGCTGTACCCCTTTTGAGATAATAATAATATTCCCATCCCATGTTATTATCATTCTCATGTATTTGCTTTCAACAACTCATCAGTGCTTCAAATTATGTTACTGATTTTACGTAACTGAATATGCAGAAGCTTCTGTTCAGAAAACCACTATTGTGATCATACTCTTATCTTCTCACTGTACCTTTCTACTTATTATGACGTATGTCCAAATATATTATTGCACACATTAATCAAAACCAAAGTTTTATTTGGCTCACTCATTTCATATACTTTATCATGACATTCAATTCAAACCCACAAATTTGTGATGATGGTGACACTAGCTTAAGCTATCTATTGATGTGTTTGAATTCAAACATAGTAAAGATTGAGATTACCTAACTTAATTTCATTGGAGTTGCAGACCCTATAGACACGGCAATGAATTAAGGGAATCCAATAATAATCGAGAAAGTTTGTTTCGGTCATGTACTAGAAAGCGACATTTCTTCACTTGCTCAAATTCCCGCCAGCATAAGTATTTTGTATATACCTATTGTGCTGTTTCTTAATGGCCACGAAATAGTGACCTAAGTAGATGAATTATTGCCATTTGATTAATATATTGTGGGGAGGTTGCTAGTGTTGTATAAGATATGAGTTGATAATGAAGTGTGATAAGAAAATTAATACTATTAGATGTGTTGAATTGAATTTGATTTTGACATAAGCTTAAAAAGGGTGAGGGTTGCTTTGGATAAGGGAGAGTTGGGGCCTAATAGCTAGCAGAACCTGCAAAGTGCCAAAGAGAAACTGAGGATGAAAAACATTCTGTCATATTCCAAATGGGTCTATCTCTTTAGCATCTTTCAATAAAGAAGGCACTTAATAGAACAGCTCATATGGCTGAGCAGGCAATTCCCTGCTTCACACATGACTTGACATCACCTCTTTCTTTCCCATTACACCCCAAAGTCACACTGCTGCATGGTTTTGCTTTTGTCTGAGGAATAAAAATTAATAAACCATTTTTTTAATGAATAGGAAAAACAGAACATGAAGACTACTGGAGCATGGTCAAAAGTCCCAATGAACCAGTAACCCCAGTTTCAGTTTCTTTTGTGTCTTGAGGTTGGTCCATTTTGGTTCTTTTCTTTTGAACTGACAGAGTGTATCAGATGATAACCATTGATGAGGAAAGTATGGGAATGACCAAGTGTGGGACTTGGCTCTATTTGTCAGTCCAAACATTTGAAGGAATTGGATAATTGTCCAAACCACTAGTATAAAATATCCTCTCTTACTACTGCCCATTTAATCATCACTGATATGGAAATGAGGGGCCTATAAGCCGCACTAATCAAATTTTAATTGCTTTGATTAAGAGGATGCGTTTCCAACAAAATGCCTCATCTTAATTTATTATTGGTTTGATGCAGAGGAGTTTGTAACTGTAATGAGCATTTTATCACTCTAACCATGGCAGTCACATTCTAAGGTTTTAAAAATCAGTTATTTTGACCCAAACAACAAGGTTTTTGAGGTGCTGCTTGTAACCAGAAAACAATCACCATTAAGAGAATTGTTAAGCAAGGGATGGATGAGGGAAGGTGAAAACTCTCGGATAGGAACAAACTATAGTGGATGATGGGGTGCCAATGTTTTTATTTTTACTGGTTAGTGCTTGCTAGAGAAAGCTGAAAAGGAAATTATTGAGAATTCTTTTGTTTGCACTCGTGATATTGCACTTTCGTCTCATCTTCATTCCTTTGTTGTTAAATGCATTTTCTTTTCATGACTTCTATGCTTTTGCTAGGTAATCATATCTTGAATCTCACTCTTTTCAAACGTTGTCTTACAATCTTACCAAGTACGTTGAGAAATTTCATTTTCAAAAGAAGAGGGTATATTTTACAATGAAAATACATATTTTTGAATCAAATTTTATAACGTGTCCAATTTTATAGTCTATTGGATGAGTCATGTACAGAGAAAGATAAGTTTAAGAACAAATGTATCAATTAATTAAAGAGAAAGTTGTGATTGCACATATTCGTTAGTTTGAAAGTTATGAAACATGCATCCAGAAGCTTCAAGACTAGAGAGAGTATTTCAAATGAAAGTAATCTTATCACCATAGCATAGAAAGAGTGTGAAAACCAAACAAAAAGGGAAACTACTAAAAAAAATTTAGAAGCCAATAACTTTTGTTTATTGACTTGATTAACAATTAAATATCATCGCACCCTTTACCACTGATTAGACATGTGTTATATTTTCTCCTCCCTAAGATGTTGTTTTGATTTCTTTTTCTCTTTTCATAAGATTTTTTTAATTGTATCTTGTATTAACTAAGTTTCACTAAAATATATTTAATTATTACATAAGATTTTGTTAATTGTATCTTGTATTAAATAAGTTTCACTAAAATATATTTAATTATTACAGTTCATATAATAACATCCTCTTTATTCTTTTAGATTAATAATATTTTAATAAAATTTATGTTTAGAGACGAAAACAATATATCAATTAATCCACTAATGTAATTAATATTGAACTCTAAGCTTAAAATCCCTTTAACCCATATCTAACATATCCTTTCAATTCTATGTTTTAAGTTGGAAAAAAAAAAAAGTTATACGTCACGTTGTTATACAAATGAAGATTGAGAAGAACTGAAACGATGATAGGGTTTGTAGAAGAGAGCAACCATAGTGGTAGGTATTTGACAACATTGATGTGAAGAAGTGGCAATGTGGCACGAAGAGTAGAAATAAAGGCTCAGAGGGATTCAGAAATTTCCAGGAAGGTGTCTCCAAATGGGATGGCACAAGAAAGTCCAATTCCAAATCCAATCCCTTGTTCAAAGATGCACATTGTGTTGGTAACCCTACATAGTTGTGAGGTACATGCCTACATGTAGGTGCTTTAGAGGATTTTAATTATGGTGAAGCAGAGAATGGAAGTACACTTGATGAAGTTGTGGTGCAATGGTTACACACACTTCATGCAATGCAATCTGAGAGAAAGAAAGAAAGAATGAATGAATGTCCCATTGTAGGAGGACTAACCGAGGCAAGAGTATTAGCTGGACCTTATGATTGCACCCTTTTTCAGGAGCCTTTCATAAAATTTGTCAGAACTTGGCTGAATAGAGAGATCATATAAGTATATGATTAATTGAATTGGGTTGGGTCTTCATTCTTCTTCTTTTTTTTTTTCTTTTTAAAGCCTATTTTAGCTGAAGTTCATGTCTGCCAAATTAATCATTCCCTTCCACATCCTCGTGGGACCCCAAACTAAAGAACCCTCCTCCTTTTTGTTACACCTTATACATACATTTAAAAAAATGGAGAATACATGAAATTGTTTATTTTTTCTTCTATCCTAAAGTAACTGTGGTTTTAGTTTTCCAAAAAAAAAAGTAAATTGGATCGATGTTAGTTTTTAATGAATATTAACGTTTTATTTTCTATTTTGTCTTAAAATAAATTAAATTGGTGTTAAAATAATGTATTTATAATTAAAAAAATACAATTTCAGAGAACTAAAAAAAAAAAAAAATGTAACAATTATATATATATATATATATATAATATTTATGTAATTTACATGAATAAAATAATTTTAAAAATAGATTTACTTTTCATAGGAAATTACATATATATATATATTTAAAACATAAAAAGAATATAAATTAATAAAAATATTTAAAATTTTATTAACACTACACAAATTTATTCAATAGTTGATATATTCAATAGTACCTTAGAGTTGGAGGCTGATACTTCAACCACTAAACTATTAGAATTTTTTTATAATAATTTATAAATAAATTATATTTATATACAAATAAATATATATTCATGTAAATATATAAATACAAATATATTTATATATTAAGATATATTTATATATAATTAAATATTTATTTTTTAAAATTATTTAATTTAATAAATTATTATAAATTAATCTAATTATAATTAAATTAAATTATTAAATAAACAAATATTTAATTTTTTAATTAGGTGAATAATTAATTAGAATATATTAAGTAATTATTATATAATTTTACCAACGGATATGTTCGTCGGTAACTAATTGTTAATTTACTCGATGAATTTACCGACAGAAATATCCATCAAGTAAATAATTGTTAATTTACCGACGAATTTATTGAAAAATATATATGTCGGTAATTAATTGTTAATTTACCGATGGATTTACCGACAAATATATTCATCGGTAATTAATTGTTAATTTACCAATGGATATATCCTTTGGTAAGACCAAATTCCACAAATACTTTATATCCGTCTGGTAATGACCCATTTTTCGACGGCTACAAATTCGTCGATAAAAATTCGTCGAAATTTTGCGATTTTCTTGTAATGAGTATCCAAACTTTAAAGAAATATCATTATTTATGATCTAAGATCATATATAAATAAATTGAACTATTCTTGATTTGATGAATATACAAATCAAGGAAAAAAAATAAGAATTATATAGTTATAAAAAAATACTAGAAAAAATTCACATATGACAAATCTTTTTCATTGCGTCGAAAAAAAAGGAGAAGTGATACTCTTATTATTGAAACTAAGAATGGAATAAAAATGTATGATCATGAATATTGATGTATATTCTATACAATAGAAAAAAATATTATGATTCTAATCAATTTTGTTTCTTAGGTTTTTCATCATTTTTTTTATGTAAATGAACGAATTCAGTTAATAACAAATAAACATAGAATTATATAAAATAAAATACGCTATTGTTGAATATTCTGAATCAGAATTAAACATTCAATACTAACCCAAATTCACTAGGCAAATTTAAAAATGTTGAGTAGAATACCGCCTTAAATTTGTTGAGCAAAATTAAAATTATAAATCAATTCCCCAAATATAATATAAGTACAATATATTCATTCAAAAAAATTATCATTTTTAATATTATAGAAATTAATTATCCATTCAAATTCAATAATATTCAATTAACACACATATAGCCACACAACATAATTTCTTGCAATTTAAGTAATGTGATCAACACACCTTTATAGTCTATATCTTATAGTCTAGAGGACTATGGAAATTGAAAGATGACTAGGTACTCTTATCTCAATTTCATAGCCTTCGATTCCAAAAGTTCCTAGACTCATAAGAAATCATATAAGCTCACAAAAAACTCTAATTAATAACTCAAACCTATCATAATATTCCTAAATTAGTCCAAATTTATTTTTACCCGACAAAACCTATATGCATGCACCCTGGGCTTACATATAAGCTCCTCAAATTTACATGTAAATGTTAAAAAAATGGGCTACGAGAATTTTTCTTTATTGAAAATTTTGATAGGATAAAAATGTTTTCCTCTACTTCAAATGTGCTTGAATCTAAAAAAAATATGAGAGGGTGAGTTAGAGAGAAAATAATCTTAGAAAGATGATGATTTTGAGAATGGAACTTGATAGTGACTAAAATTTTTTATTTAGAATTTTTTTTCAACTTAACCGTTAAAACTTTAAACTTTATCCTCATTAGACCACTTATACTTTTAACTCACATTTTCACATTTAACAATTTTTTTTAAGCAGAAAGTAACATGAAAAGAAAGAAAAGTGTTCATTTAAAAAAAATAATAAATAATTAAATTAAAATTAAATATTTATTCAATTATAAAATTAATCATACAATAATTAATTAATTTTTATTGATAAAATAGTTTTTTTTAAGTAATACCTTTAAATTAATATCTATGTTTCATTAATATATACTTTGACATATAATTATAAAATATTTTGATTAAAGTTTATATATATATATATATATATATATATATATATTATTTAAAGTGAGAATAATTTTATAAAAAAATATTTTTTTTTTCATTTTGCACTATGAATGAAAACCAAACGTATATGATACAGTAAAAATTGTCTTTTTATTTTTTTTCCTAACTATTCTTTGTGCTCATTTCCATATACTAATCATTTTCCACTCTACATTTTTCTTGCAACCAAATAGAATCTTACTTTGGTAAAAAATTTCATTATATTAGTTTTTTTTTTTAATATTTCTTCAAAATACCTTAAATTGTACATATTATAATGAAAAAAATATTTTCAAAATTAATTTTATATTTTTTAAAATTTTGAATATAAGAATAAGTGTTAATTCATGAGTATATTTTTGAATTTCCTTGAAAGTTAATTTGTAATTACACAGAACAAGAAAGTAGAGTGTAACATAGGTTACCTTTTAACTTAAATCTAAGACAAAAGAGAATTTAATGATGCAAGTATAATTTAAAAAGGAAAGGAAGTTCATAATTTTTAATTGGTGAAATTATTTGTACAAGTGTTCAATGTTCATATATAACTAAAAATTGTAAGAGAAATTATAAACTGGATATTAAATATGTGTCAATTAAACAAAAACATGCACTCATTGCAAGATTTTATATGTGAAGCATGAACATTCAAATTAGTTAATTTTATATGTGATAATATTTTTAATTTGTGTTCGTTTTGAATATAATTGCAAGAGATTTTCAAATGAGACAAATTTAGTCTTCTGCCAATCTAAATTATATAAGAAATTTTTATGAATAATAAATAATGCACAAAATTATCTGTTTTTTATTTAAAATATGATCAAACACTAAGACACAAAGGCCGTTAGTTTTTTTTTTTAGTTTTAAATAATTTAAAAATTAGATTACAAAACAATTATCTAACAAAATTTCTATTAAAATACATTTTAAAAAATAAACAAACAGGTCCATATTTTTGTAGAAATTCAATTAAACTAATAAATAATATAATAATTGTAACTAAATTTGATGTGTAGTGTGCCCCCAAAGTAAAGGAATGGATCCCAAATTAGCAATACTTCATCAATAAATATTTCTCCATTTATGTAATTTTAATATAAGTGAACAAAAATTGGTAAATTTATATTAAGACAAATAAAACTAATTTCACCTTCTTTAACTATTTTTTTTCTAAAACACCTTCATTTAATATTAATCATATGTGATATGTTTTTATTAATGATATCAAGTTCCAATAATATATTTTAAATTATTTTGATATCAGTAAAATTAAATTATATTAATTTAATTTATTTATTACTGTTAAAAAATTTGTTTATATTTTAAAAAAGTAAATCATAATTAGTATCTTAACACTGTGAAATAAGTATTTAAAAAATGGAAAAATCATATTTTTATTTTTATTTTAAAATCATATTGAAAAATTACCATACTTAAAAATGAATTTAGAACAAGTTAAACAAACTTAGAAAGTTGAATAATTTACTTAAAATTTCTTAGTTTCAAAATAATTTAAACAATTAAAATGATTAAAAAATATTTAATAAAACCAATTTCGAGTAAATTAATATTAAGCAAAGGTATCGCAGCAACCACATATCACTTTTGGAAATCACTCTTTTGGGAATATTTAGTTGAGGTTAGTTTTCAAGAAATAAACACTTATTTATCATTTTTTAAGAAAACTAATATATAAAGTTCCAATTATAATAACTTTGATGGGGTAGAGGCTTCAATTGGGGTGTCATTATAGTGTCCTTGCATGCACATTCTTTCACCATTGAAAATCATTGGAAATTATTTTTTATATATATAATAAATGTGATTATTACGAACTTAATTGTAAGCATTAAATTAGAAAGAAAAAACAAAAAAGAGGAAGATTGAGTATTGAAGTGGGGAAGAAGGATGTGAGAAAATGACAAAATCTTAATAGAAAATGAAAGAAAAGTGTGAAAGAATAGCACTTTCCAAAGGATGGATTTGAAACTCAATCATGCCCTACTTACTTAACATCGTCTAATAAGAACAACCGTAATAAATGGCACCGACGATTTCCATTTTTTAAATTTTGAAAACACGTGATTATTCATCTGGTTGGTTGGAAGAAAAAGGAGAGGAATGATTTTTTTTAATTAGTTTTTATGTGCAATGTTTATAAAAACAAACAATATATTAAATTTATATTACTGTATCGTTTTTATTTACTACGAAAGAAAAAGTGTTTTAGCAAGGTTTTATTATTTTTAAATATATTCAAAGTATCGATTTGTTAGTATATATATATATATACTCTCTTTTTTAAATGAGCATTTTAGAAAACTATAAATTTAATTTTCTTAACATTATAGTTTGTTGAAGGTGTGCCTAAAAAAATAGGAAAAAAAAAAGAAAAAAAAAAGAGAGGATCTCTCCATATCTCGGATGAATAATAATGTAAATTATGAAAAAGCTTTTTATTTTAGAAATGTTAAATAAAGAAATATCTTAATAAAATAGATTAATTAAAATATTAAATATCATTATAGGTTAATATACTGTAAGTATACCGCCAGTCTCACGTGACATTGTAGTTACGTGAGTGAAGTCACGCATATTTTAACTACACAGTAAAAACGACACGTTAAGGACATCCGACAGAAAATAAAAAAGTCAAAGATCAAACTCCATAAAAAATATACTAAAATAGTATAAATAAATAAGATCTCTAAAATATAGATATTATTTATCGGATACTTGACTCTCTCGTGATTATATCTCTTACTAACTTAACATTGAAAATACACCAATAATATTCCAACTTAAAAAACAAATTACATGGAGATTTTGAATACTCAACCACATAAAAACATATTAAACAACATATCTGCACAACCTATTTCACATCAAATTATATTTTCATGGCACAAGAACATATTAACTGAACCTCATCTAAGATTAGGGTTAAAAAACACCTCACAATTTTAATTAAACATCCCTACATAAATCAAATAACCTTTGACACTTTCTATAGTAACATGTCGTCAAACAAGAGCAATAGAAGCAACAATTCCTTTCTTCCCACGAAACTATGAAAACGTGTTTTTTTTTTTTTTAAATGGTATGGTTTATTGTTCGGAAAAGGGCAAGATTACAGTGGATTAGATAGAGGCAGTTTGGTAGGTGAAAGGCATAAAGACGTATGAAAGAAAAGAAAACAAGACTCACATCACAACACGTAACCAAATTGTTTGCTTCAAAAATCAATTTTAAGATATAGCTTCAAATTGCTTTTGCCAAAACAATGTAGTTTGCCTTTTTAAACTGCTATTTCTCTGTGTTTTTTTTTTTTTCTTTCTTTTCATGAAATTAAAATTATGTACACTCCTATTACATACTAAATTGTTTTTATTTATTTAATGAATTGCTCACTAAATTGATATTGTACTCATGGCAATTGGTATACTGCTTGAGAAAAAAAATATTTGAAAAATGATGCATTTATGTAGCGTTGAGGTTTGAAACCTGATGTTGCATGACTATAAACAAAATTATAACGAGAGCTTAATCATATAGGTCTTATACGTAATAAACAAGTTTTGAGATAATTTTATAAATATGAAATTTTAACAATTTAATTTTTTTTTTCTTGAAGCATATTATGATTACAGTTTTATGTATTTTACAAAGCACTTAATTGATTTTCATCACACCACTATACTTTAAGATTATAGAATTTTGATAATAATATTTTTTAATGTTAAATTATATATAAAGATTGTAAAATATTAATATGTGTACTTTAATTTAATTTAAAGTGTATCACAATATATAATCCATTAAAATTCATTGATAATTTTTGTTTATACAACAGTTTTTGTTGCGAAAGGGCCTTTCCTCAATTCTCAGCCTGCAAAATGTGCAATGCAGGCTAACATTAGTCGTAGACCAATCAATCCATTAAGTCTGAATCAAATTTTTTGAACAATTCTTGGGATCCATATAAATGTTTAATACCCCATCCGAAAACAAAAACAGTTAGGAAAATTAACAAATGGAGCAGAATATTTTATTTTTCTCCTTAGATTAATGTATGAAATAGAAAGATTTAATTTTTTTACTCTCTGAAGTAAATACACCTCCAAAGGTTGCTTATTGGATTGGGATTTGAGAATTATCCGATTAAAATTTTAAATACCGGGACGAGGTTAAATTTGTACAATATATTTTTTTTTTCTTTTTTTACTTTTTTTGGCTTCAGTTGTATTTTTTATTTTTAATCTTTTATTGTTTGGAGCCTCGTTCACAGTTTAATATATAAACTTTTGGTTCTCTGCATCTATTGAGAACTCTGCCGGTCTGACATCTTCGCACCAAGAAAGGAATATATTAAAAAGGGTCATGATATTTTGACACCTTTAACTAAAAACAACTCAAAAAATAACCCATTTTATTAATATAATAATCATGAAAGAAATTAAATAAAAATGAAAATAAGTTAAAATTATTATTATAATATTAAAAATGAGTTGTTGGTTAAAGTTGTATAAAATTGGGTTGTCAAAGTATCATTTTTCTATTAAAAAACATTGAATGTAAGATTTAAATTTTATAAAAAAAAACATATTTTTCAAACAAATAGGTCTTAAAGTTAATAATTAAATATTATATAAAACTGAGTCCTAAAAGTAAAATATAATATTTCAAATTACTTTTGAATCTTTAAAATAGAATTAAAAATAAAATTTAAGATTCAAAAAATTAAAGTGCAAATAAAAAATTTATAAACATATAGATTTTACAAGACTTCATAATTAGAACCAAAATTGTAGATGTTCTTACATTCAAGCTTTTTGGGAAGCGAATTGATGACAGGGTTATTGATTATAATTTTTTTTATACTAATTGATTATAAAAAATGAGATATGTAAGTTAAACATGGATGATCATCAAGTTTAATTTACACTTGTTTGAGAGAAAAGAGGTGAAAAGAGTCTCTTGTTGTGTAGTTTAACTAGTTTTAGTGTTTATATACTCACTGGTATTTAAAACTTTAACAATGACAAACAAGAGAAGTTGAACCTCCTGAGAACCTTTCTTCAAGTGTTGTTAATACAGACTTTATAATACAGATTTGGTGGTTCAAGATGACATGAATTTCTTGGAATGGCTGGGGAAGATATTGTCACAGGGAGATGAGTATGTGATGCAGTTAGTGTCAATGATATCCTCCATAATTTGCCAACCAAAATGATAATATATATCAGGGGAAATTTTCAAACCACAAATTGCAATACACTTGCACTAGAATTACCCGCTAAGACTTGATGATTCAGAACTCTACTGGGTTTGATTTCATTGTTTCTTACTCATCAATGAATGAAAGCTTTCCTTGAAAAATTAACTTATACATTAATTTAATTTATTAATTTAATTTATTCTATTTTCTTCTTTGGAAATGTTTACAAAGAAACATGTCTAAACTGGTACTAAGTAAACCTAGGTACTTGCTGTATAAGAAATTTTGAGGGAATTTTCATCTATTTCATTGTGCTAAAACTTTACAACTTGTTCAGCTACCCCTGACTCAAATCATAGGTTTCTATTTCCTGTTCCTTCAAGAAAGATCAGCACTAACACTCCCAACAAACCAACTCACAAACTGTGCTCATTTTCTATCCCATTTTTCTTTTTATCTGTTTTTTATATTTTATTTTCCATAATATTACTTGCTCTGCCACTTCAGGAAGATTGGTTAAAACTTATTTCCACCTTCCTAACACACTCATTCTAACATTATCTAAATTCTAGTGGTCAAAAGTATTGAAAATTATAAAATCATTAGAGATGAGATTCGCAAAAAAATGTGATTTTTTAAAAGAATCAACTAATAATTCGAGGAAGTGTGTTTAGAAAAGTATGTTGAAGATTATATTCCTAATACTCCCATCTTACAAAAAGACTGCAGTTTGAGTATTCAATGAAAATGTGTCCATGTTATCCATTTCCAATGAAATATAATTTTTTTAATTCGTAATTCATTCTCAAACAAATTCCATTGAAGTGAATAAAAATGTAAAAAAAGTATTAAATTGATGAAGGGAGGGAGTATTTCTGAGGTGAAGCAACATAAAGGCAGGGGATCTTATGTGGAAACTTTGAAGATTGAGTAAACATCACTAAAAATGAAATAGAGATTTACATTACGTTACGTATAGAATTGATTAAATATAGAAAAAAATAAACAGGTGTAAGAGATTGTGCGGCAGAGGAAGGTGTGTAAGAAAGAAAGAATAGAATGCAAAAGGAAACTAAAAACCTTTGGGTCCAGTTTCCTTCAAAGCTTGGGATTTCTGCGCCATAGCGAGGCAGTACTTGGCGATTTCTCTGAACTTGGGGACACTCCTAAGGTCTACCTTGGTCCCGTCCTTCAGGGTTATGATAACGTCACCCCACTCCCCGATAAAGCGCGGCACCACCTGCACGTCCTTTATCACGCTGTACCCGAAGTCGCTGCGGTCCTCACCCGTCAGCCCCGAGATCACCGTCACTCTCAGATTCGTGAACCTGTAGCGCAGGTACATGGCGCGTGACACCGCCGCTAGGGTTAGGGGGAGCCAGAGGAGCGTGAACCCCAGAAGGAGGTTGGCCACGAGATCGCCGTAGTGGGCCCCGCCGTCGAAGAATATGGACTCGCCGGAGGCGGGGGAAGGGGTCGGGGTGGCGGTAGTCCGGGGGTTGTTGGTGGGGGAGGACACGTGGAGGCGTGTGAGTCGGCGGTGTTTAATGAAGAATCGAGAGAGGGGAGGGTAGTGGGGTCGGTGGTTGACGACGGCGGTTGTGGCGACGGTGGGTGGCGAGAGGAGGGGAATGGAGGCCATGGAAGTGGGTGTAATTAATTTATGTTATCCGTTTAGAAGTGAGGAGTTTGAGTGGCAGGTAATGAGTTTTTTTTTTTTTTTTTCTGTTCAAAGAAAAGTGGGGGCCACTTTTTTCCTAAGTGACAATACTCTAGCCACGTGGCGGGTTGTTAACCACTGCTCTTACTGATCAGAGGCCCAATGCTCTTATTGGGCTGAGTGTGGTGTGTTTAACATTTTTTCAGACATTCACAACTAATTTGACTACAACAATCCCACTCTTTGGGCCTCTTTGTTAGCCCCATATGCCCTTGGGCTTTCTGTTCAGGCATATTTTAACAAATACAAGGTTGATGACCAAAACTAAATATATGTGACTTTTAGGTCTTCATTATTAGCCCGATCACAGGGTCAGCGGAAATGTACTACAAAACAAATTCTTTTTAATCAAGTTAATTTTTTTCATATATTGTTTAACAAAATTTATCAATAATGATAATTTCACTACATTTTTTATACAATACTTGCTTAAAAAATTATACTTAAAATAAAATAAATTTATAAAAATAATATTTTCTTATCTATATGATCTAATACAATATCTCAAAACTCACGACTAATTTGTAATTGCAAAATGTGTTTTTTATTGTTTTAATAATCTGAAAATTTATCCTGGGACTACCAAGTCAACCTTGTGTCCTAGGACAAATAATGCAATCATTGGATAAAAAAACTTAGTTAAAAAAAATGTTTTTAAATTAATATATGAGATAAATTATACTTCCTCCAATTGTTAATATAAGTGATTTAAAACGGAATCACATAAAACAATAAAAATAAATAATTCTTCTTCTTTTTTTGCACTTTTAAAACAAGTTTATTATTGTACTAAACTAGTATTATTGAAAGACTAATTACATAACTAAAAAAATTATAATAAACAATAAGAAGATGATTTATAATATTAATGAAATTGCATTTAATTGATAACACGAGTATCATTATATTATTTTAAAAACTAGATTTAGGTACAATTAAAACTAATAATGATATATAGCATAAAAATAATGCATCGATATTAATCCTATATTTCTACCTCGTATGAAAAAAAATGATATATACTGTAAGACCTATATTTCTACCTCAGGAAAAAAATGATATGTCCAGTAAGAACTATTTTAATGGTTTTCAAATATTTCTACGTAGACTACATGTTTTTATAATGTATATACATTTTTTTCTTGGTCTAATTAGAAGATATGGAAGATAATTTTTTTATTTTTGTAATGCTTTGACTTTTGTTTACTGTAATGGCAGAACATAATGGCAAAAAAGTTATTTTCTTTAAAACTTTAAGGAAAATCCTATATATACAAGAATTAAATTCATTATTGATATAAATAATGTCACCAATATTTTTTAGTAATTAAATAATGTGTTTTCCCAAATCATTAATTAACTTAATTAATGTTTCTCAAAAAATTTGGGAACATCAACTCTCAATCATCTCCGTCTTTTCTAATCATCTCAGTCCCGTCTCCGATCTCCGTCCCCGTCTCCGATCTTCGTTGGGGTTAGAAATTAAGTCTCCATCCTCGCTGGGTTTCGGGTTTCCAGTCCCGCCCGATCCCGATCTATATTATTTTTAAAAAGATAATTACATTTTTAATAAATTAATTTTACTATCTATTTTTTATATATAAATAAATATTTATAATTTTATAATTTATAATAATTATTAATTAAATATACATTTTAATTTATTATATTTATATTAAAATATGTATGTAAAAGAAATATTTAATCATTTTTTATTTATAACATTATTATTATTATTATTATAATATTGTATTCAAATATTTGAATACTTATAACATTATCATTATTATTATAATATTGTATTCAAACATTTGATTATATATATAAGTTAATTCATTTTTAAGTTGTAATTTAAAAATATGAAATATATAGTTTATAATGAAATATTTAATAAGTTAATTATTATTCAATTAATTCAAAGTAATAAAAGTTTAAATTATCAATTCTTTTAATCCTTTAAAATACAATTATTTTATTAAGATAAAATTTGATATATGATAAATAAGAATGATAAGATAAACAAATGACATAATAAAACCTAATAAATATAAATTATAAATAAAATAATATTAGTTACTATTAAGATTTATGTAAAATATTTAGAAAAAGATAAAGAATAAAAAAATTAACTGTGTTCATCAAATTGATTAAAAAGATTGAAAAAAAAAACAAATTGATGAGAGACATTAAGAAAATATGAAAAACTACAGGGTATAAGAGAGAATAATATAATAAATTAATTGATATAAAAGATTAAAAAAGATAAAAAAATTAAAAAATAGGTAGAAGAAAAATAAAAATTGGTAAAATATAAAAAAATGACCTTATATGTAATAGAAAAAGAAAAGAAAATACTTTTAAAATATTAATATTTTAAAATTAAAATTTAAATATAAATTCGAGGCGGGGACGAGTTTAATTGTCATCCTTAAAGACAATAGTTTGAAATTAGTGAACATTTAAAATCATTTGAAAACTCTTATTTAAACCTTAAATCCTAAACCAATTATCTTGCATTTCTTAGTCTTTCTCTAATTAGTATTAAAAGTAGAATAAATTCATTCACCTCTCTATCATTTAATAATTGAACAAAGTATAGTTCTATCATGAAACAAACTTGGAAACTTTATGTTATACACAAAATTATGATAAAAAAATTCAACCAATGAAAGTAAAAGTAGGTTATTATTTCTCAATTAAAAGATTTTTTGGTAACTCAATATGACCTTTATCATTTTCATTGAGATCCATATCTCCATCACCTATGTTTAATATTAGTTGGGATTTTTTTTTATATCCCTTGCATTTTGTCATATTCTTGTAATATTTAATCTCATATTGTCATAAAGTTTCAAAAAATTTCAATTATTCTATATTTTTGAGGAATTTATTGATGATTTGACAACATCATGTTTTCAACCTTTTTTTATAATAGGTAGAATTTGTCTAAAATCACCTTTTAACACAACAACTTTATCATCGAATAATTTAACAATATTGTCTTCGAGTTTGACATTTCATAATGTCAAATTAATGCCTCAAAACATAATCTATTCATCATTGGTGCTTGTTAGAAATATTACTTTATTATCTTTTATTTAAATTATGTATTAAGATATTTTATTATCTTTTAAGAGAGAAAATAAAAAAATATTAAGTTATTATTTTAATTTAGACAGTTATAATTAAGATATTACTATGATTTGATATTTTGTCATAATTTACTCTATATATAGATAGAGTACATCAATAAATATATACCCAAATGAGATATATTTTCTTATATCAGAAATACACATACAAAAAACCTTAAAAATTCTCATTAGTGGTATCAATAGCTTTGGTTCTTACGAGAAAATGGAAGGAGAAAATTTTTTTTCACAATTTGATACTCCAATTTTTGATGGCGAAAGTTATGACATATGAGTTGTGATAATGTAATCCTATCTTGAAAGATTGGATGTATGAGAAGCTATGGAAAAAGATTACATCATCGACTTGCAGTCTGAAAATTCCACTATAGTTCAAATCAAATTTCATAGAGAAAGAAAAACGAGGAAGACAAAAGTTAAAACATGTCTATTTGCTGGTGTTTCACAAATGATCCTCAGAATCATAACGCTAAAGTCATCAAAAGAAATTTGAGATTATTTGAAAGATTAATATGAAGGGCACGAGAAAATTCGAGGTATAAAAGTTCTAAACTTGATAATGGAATTTGAGATAAAAATAATATAAGAGTCTGAGACAATTGATGAATACTCAAAGAAAATATTGAATATTGCTAACAAGATAAAATAGTTAGGTAAGGAATTTCCTGATTCCAGACTAGTTGAGAAAATTCTAGTAATTGTGCCAAAGAGATATGAAGTATTTATTGCCTTATTGGAGAATATTTATCTAATATTACTTTGAGAGAAGTATTACATGTTTTACAAGCACAAGAACAACGATGTTTGATGAGAGGAGATCATGCTGCTGGTGAAGGTTTTTTATTATATCATGCTGAAAGTTCTCTCCAAGCCAAGAACAATAAATGTGCCAAAATCACGTATTTTTTCTATTTGTCCTTATTATAAGAAAAATAATCACCCACACAATAGGTGTTGGTGGAGGCTTGATGTAAAATGCCACAAATATGGTCAATTGGGAGATATAGAAAAGATATGCAAATCACAACCAAAAGAAGTCCTCAAGATTATAGAGGATAAAGTAGAAAGAGAACTTCTCCTTACGTCGTCAACATGTTCTATAATCAACAAATTCACAGGTTGGTTTATAGACAATGGTTATACAAAACACATAACTCATGATCGAGAACTTTTCAAAGAATTCAACAAATATGTTATTTCTAAAGTGAGAATTGGTAATAACAAATTGATGTGAAAGGTATGTGAATAATTGCAGTTACAAGTCATTCGGGTATCAAATTAATTTTTAACGTTTTATATGTTCCTGATGTTAATTATAATTTATTAAGTGTTACTCAATTTATGGAGAAAAGTTATAAGGTTTCTTTTAAACAAAAACTGTGTGATTAAAGATGAAAATAGCTTAGAAATATTCAAAGTTTACATAAAAGGAAAACGTTTTACTTTAGATTTGATAAAAGAAGAGTTGACTACAAATGAGGATATAAAAGAAAAGTAAAAAAAATAGCATAATGAATATTTTTTGAACTTGAAGAAACTTGATGTTAAGGAGGAAAATAAAGATGTAGATGAAGAAACGATTTTCAATGTCCATTAAAGGGTTAACAATACTACCATGAAATTTGAAAGAAATAAAGAAAAATGAAGTTGATAAAGAAAGAAATACTTTGATGAAGAAAATGAAGTTGAATGAAGATGTGATCTCATATAAGAAGGAAGATGACAAGAAGTACAAGTAAAAAAATAGGAAAATTTTAAGCAAAATAAAAG